TTTTTATTATCCTGTTTTGACATCCCATAGACGGATAGACTTATCATCACTACCAGAAGCTAATGTATTTCCATCAGGAGAGAAACAGACTGAGTTAATACAATTACTATGACCATCTAATTTGGCTTTTTATTATCCTGTTTTGACATCCCATAGACGGATAGACTTATCATAACTACCAGAAGCTAATGTATTTCCATCAGGAGAGAAACAGACTGACTAGACATAACTAGTATGACCATCTAATTTGGCTTTTTATTATCCTGTTTTGACATCCATTCTATTTGGTTGAAATAAATTTTACTATCTAATTGCAATTTAATATTAATTGAAATTCTTTAATTTTTGACCTGATCTTTCATTTTTCTAAATATTGGCATTTTTAACTTTCTAGCTTCAATAATCCTTAAATGTATTAGTCAATACATCCCCATGTATATTTAAATAATTCTTATAGAAAATAATTTTCTTTAAATAGAGAAAATAATTGATGATAAATAGGGCTACATAATGAAATTTTCTGTCTGATAGCAAGTTTCTATAACTAAATTCTTTTTTATTTAAGGGATAATTTATTCTTTTACATGAATCTTGCTTTATTAATGAACAATTAATGAATCAATTTATTACAAAAAAAATATAATTAATAGAATTTTTTAGATGAAAATTTTAAGTCTTTTTCAAGTTATTCGATCATTAGAGAGAAATCTTAGTATTTAAAGGTAAATAAATGGGGCTATATTTATTTTATAATAATAAAATTAAATCATTGTATCTTCTCTAGATAATAAATTGAATTTGCTTTTAATCCTAAAGTTACACCAATCGAACTTGTTGAATATCCTTATAACATCAGTCTTGCTATAAATTTTCTTAATATAAATCTTTGAATTAAATTATAATTTTATTCCTTTAAAAGTAATTTATTCATAATCTGATTCCTTTTTTTTTGATTAATATATTTTTATTGCTGTAAACCCTGCCGCCATTCTTTTTCGTATTTCAGTATAATAATTATAACAAAACTATATGTTTAATTGAAATAAGAATTTGACATCTTATTTAAAAAGGCTATCTTTTTCTCTATTTTTCTCAATAAATAAGTTATAGTTTACCCTTGATTTTAGAGAGTTTGTTAAGTTATTGAAAATACAAAATTGGTTTATTGGGTTTGGAGTGTTGAATAACAGAAATTTTAATGAATTAGATTAATTTAAGAAAGAGGAAAGCTGTTTTTAATAAAACAGTAAAAAATAAAGAATGATTGTAATTCAATTTTTAAATTAGATATATTTGAAATGAAGGAGAATAAATTAATTAAAAACGAAAACTAAAAGTTTGGTAAATATTACAAATTTGTAATATTTAATAGATCAATTAATGTGCTTGCTAGAATTTCAGGGTAAGAATGCTACAAATTTACAATTTTTTCAGAATATCAAATTTTGTGACTCTGGTAGTTCAAATCAGCAAAATATGTGAATATATTTGCTTCCATTTTCTATAAATCTTAACCAGGATTGATAAGTGCATAATTTACTCAATATTGAGATGCGAACTGATTTTACATTCTATGTTTTAAGAAGTTCTGCTTATTTTACCTATATCTTGGTAACTATTCATAAATAAATTTCATTTCTTTCTCTCATATAATTATTAATAATTTATAATAAATATGATATGATGTATCATTAAATGAAATTCGCTAGGCATATTTTGAAGCTGGTCAACTAATTTTCTTTGGGTCCCATCAGTATAAGGGTATTATACCATATGTTTATTTATAAAATGTAATGAAAAATTAACAAACTAAAGCTCCACTATGTCATCGAAATCTAAAAAAAGAAGGAATATAGTGTGTATCATAACACTTCCATATCATTTCCAATTAAGATTATATTAATGCATTAGCAAAAAAAGAAATTTCAAATTTGTAATACCCAATTTTTAATAGTTTTCAAGATTTTCTGGCTTGAAAATTGCTAGGGTCACCCTCCAGATAAGGTACTCAAAAAAACCTACATAAGCGCCTGAGTGAAATCAGTAATAAAAATTAACTTAATTAAATTTTTTATATTTAATAAAATATATTTTAATCATATTCCTCTTTTACTCTAATACTAATACCAAACTCTGATAGCAATTACAACTATATTAAAAAAAAAATAAAACTTTTTGTTTTATTTGATAAAAAAACAATACCACTTAAAACAGCCAATTAATAAAATAATTAATCCAAAGTGATAAGATGGATGAAATTACAATTCAAACTATTCATTGTTGATTATTAAAAATTATGTAAACAGAACTCAATTGAAAAATGAACGAAGTATAAAAATATAAAATCCTTTTGGGATTTGGATTTTGCTTTATTCACATTTGATAATTTCAATATTATAGAATATTTAGCGACATCATTATATCAAATGCTACTTTAACAATCAATATTCTTGCCTATCTAAGAATGAAATTATGGACCCGTTAAATATATGGCATTGTGTATAATTGTCTATAACTGAAACAAAATAATTTAGAAATATTTTTAGGGCCACCATTTAAAAGTTGATCAAATCTAAATATTTGTTAGAACTTGACCATAGCAATTGTTTAGTTATTTTGAGAGTTATGTAAATGAGAAAAGTCGTTGGATAAGTCTATATTAAGAACTACTTGAAAAATTTGAGTTGAATATATGATTTTAGAAATTGAATACCTATTCTAATGCATTAAATTATTTCAAATTAAATTAATGAAAAAAGAATATAAAGAGTTATTGCTTCAAATCTTCATTAAGCTAAGCTTCTTCCGAAAATAATCTTGCTAATTTTACTTCTTCTAGTTTCTTTTCTAGATGTTTATCAAATGCAACTCTTTTCATAAAGCTTGGTGCAAATTTTTTTTTTAGTAGGTTTGATCTTAGCTTGAGTGTTATTATAAGCAGAGGTTTGACTATCTTAAAGAGCTGAGTCGTGACCAAAATCCTTTTTGTTAAGATTATAGAAGAAAGTTTAGATTTAAAGAAGGAACTTAAAATAACTCTATGTGTGTGGTTTTTGGAGTTTTGATAACAGAAATTATCAAAGAATTTATTAGATATTAATTAAGTAATTAGATATTTATTTAGAGAGATTCCAGAGAGATTATCAATATCAATCTTTATTTGAAATATTTACTAATGGATATTATGTAATCAGACTTAATTTTTGACACTAATTGAACACTTTGGTGACTAAATTAGATTTCCTGCACTAAAAAAATACAAATGATAATTACTTCATCTATCAATATTGGATATAAAAATAACAAACTCGCTGAATCCAGTCTAGCATATTCTATCATTTGTTGAGGCAATGGTCTTATTCTCCAATCAGAAGTTTGATATAGCTTATCTAAATAGATGTTCAAATATTGCTTGCATAACTTTTCTAAAGATTGAGCATTAGGAGATTTAATCAAAGCCATATCAATTTTACTTGTATCTAATATGTTTTTAACAATTATTTTTAAATCGCTAAAAAGAACTCTTAAATCGACTTCGCAGCCATGAAAGACTTTTAGTAAATGTTGATTCTCAAAAATAGGTGTTAAATACTTATTACAGATAGGTCTCAATTTCATAATGTCTATGATGTAATCCATATCTACAGTGGATAATTAAATTGTGCAAGCAAAGGATATTTTAAATTCATCGACTTTATCAGAATAATGTTCGATATCGACTCCTAAAATTGTGAAATTTTAAAGAATATCACTAACACATTATTTTAAATGCTCCTCTTATTCAACTACTTTAACTGGTTTTTCAGATTAAATTTATGAATAGAATTAAGATAAATGAAGCTTGCCATTTTTATGTTCTTTTAAGATTTTTTCAAAAAATTACAATTCTTTATCTGTTAATGATGTTATTTCTGAAAACTTCTTGATAAATTTATAATTTTCTTCCTCCTAAAAGAAAACCTGAGGTAATTTAGTAATATGATCTAATTCAATTGCATAATTTATCAATTTAAACTTGAGTCCTTATTTAGAGCCATAATTAATAGAAATGAAATTATCTAGCATTTAATAAATATCCATAAATTTATGAATTACAGCTATTTCAATAATTGTTGATTAGCTTAGGTTTTAGCATGTTAAAAAATTATAAATATCATCTTTAGCTATAGAATGTATATGGAAATTTTTATAGTTTTTGTAAAACTATTAATCTATTATTTCTTAAAATAAATTTAGTATTTTTAAAAGAGTTTCAGTTTTCCTCTTCTCTATCAATTTATGTAAAAATGTTTCACCCTATTTGCTTCTATAGTTAAACCAATCAATATTAAATTGAAAAAGCAAAGTATCTAATTCTACTGATTCGAGCAACATCGTAATTAATGATTTTTAAAGGCAAACTTTATACTCAAATCTGGCATGAAGGCATATTTGTTTGAATATTGACATGTTTTTCCTTCTCAAACAAAGTTCAAAAGAGTTACTTATTTATTCTTATGTGACTATGAAATTCTTTAGATAACTTGATATAAGTTCATTCTATCCATCTTACATTTCGATTATCAATCCTACATGTTCTTTGTCATAATTCGGCTAGAAATTTTATAAGAAATATTTTATATATTTATTTTCTTTGAAACTCTTAGTAAGGCTCATTAAAGATTAAAGAACTTATTGCAATTTACACTTTCTAACTTTTTCAAATTGTAATAATTCTGGCCTCATTTTATCTAATAAAAATTGAAATACCTCAAATTAATCATTTTTTGCAGCAATTTCCATGGGTGTATATCCCTCATTTTCTAAGAAATAATCTGCTTAATTTGAAATTAATAAATTTGCAGTTTCATAATGATTAAATTTTGCTGCTATCATTAGTGCAGTTTCTCCCCATTTATTCCTTTTATTGATATCGCAACCAAATGCTAATAGAATAGGTATTGAATTTAAAGCCTCACTTGATGCTGCAACATGCAATGGAGTATTGTTATCCTTATCTTTAGCCTCTACATCCATTCCATGTTCAAGCAATAATTAAGCAATTAAAGGACTATCATAACACCAAGTGCCAACCTTTCTTCCATCTCTTCCTCCCTTAGGGCCAAAAACTGCATTATGTAATGCATTTCTTCCTTACTTATCTGCATAATTATAGTCTATATTTGGTTATTGAAGTAAAAATTCTACAACGTTATACAATCCCAAAAAGCTTGCTTTTGAAAATGGAGTCCTTCCTAAAGCAGTCTTAGCATTTATATTGGCTCCTTTTTCCACAAGGAACCTAATAATAAACAATTATCCTAATGAGCAAGCATAATAAAATGGAGTTCTATCTTAAATATCTTTATGTTCTAAATTGACTTTTTCTTTAAGTAAATATTCAATCATTTCTTTGGATTCACTTCTGATAGCATAAAATATAGGAGTCATTTTGTCATCATCTTCACATTCCCAATCTACATTTTTACTGGATAAATATTAGGCATAATTTATTCTTGCGAATGCACACACTAAATGCGGAACAAGCATTTTTTCCTTATCCCTTAAGGATACTGTATATATTGATGCACCTTTATCAATTAGATCTTAGAAAACTAAGAACTTATTTTCCTTAATTGATTCAATTAGTTCTGGATTACTTTTTTGCTATTTATTTTTCTATATTTAAACTCGTTTTTCCTTTCTAGGCAAATAATTTGGATCAATCTTGTTATTTATTTCAAATGCAACAATAAATTCTGAATACCAACTATACAAACATGATATTTAAGGAGCTATTCCTTTTGTAATTACTCTATGAAAACTTCTGCTTTTATGTAAAAAGCTGAATACCAATAAATCAATAATTCCATATTACGTTAACTAATATTTCCTATATTATGGTTTCATATCAATCTCAAAATATTTACCAAGATGGTTTTATAAATTTTAATATGTTCCAAACATTGATGATGTGTCATCTATTTTTAAGAATAAATTACTTGTATTTGCTTCTTTATACTAAGTATAAATGATGTCCTTTCTAATCTTAATTATAAGTTAAATGATTTCATTTACCTTATTTAACTCTTTAAACACTTATTAAGTGGCTAAATATGGGGGAATCTGAATATTTAAATATCTATCAAATTATTCATGAATTGAGTGGTTTATTGTCTATTAGGAGAAGGATTAAATCAATTTCCATTCAAATTCATTTTTTTAATCAATGATAAAGAAGTGATCTATGTAAAGAGGAAAGGAGAACATTTTTATCAAAATTTATTGAATTTCCATTTTAAGTCTTCTAAAATTAAATATTGTAATAATTAATTCAATTTTTATGATCTATATACATAATTAATAAAAAATATAATTTATTTACAAAATACTTTCAATCTGCTGTTTAATAAAGAGCTTTCAACTATTTTTTATTTCTGAATTTCAATTAACTTGCTATAATAAAATAAATAACCAAAGATATCAGATATTAGCATTAATTAATCAATTTATTTACTAAACAATATAGTATGAGCTGTAAGAAGATAAACTATCTTTTATATGAATGGTAATGAATCCTTAATAAAATTCTAATGATTAATTTAAAAATAAAATCATTTGAGAATTTTTTTCTTGTGTGTTAATAGTCTTTTAATAAGAAAAGAATTTTTGTTTTAATTTGTATCAATCTTTTAAATTTCTCTTTCTTTAGAAATGATATTTTTTTAGTTGTTAAAGTTGTCTATAACTTAAAATTTATTAAAATAAACAAAAAAAATAAAATAGGTCATCATCGTCTTCATCATCTAATTGTTGATTTATTTTACACTAATATTCAATCGGATTATATTTCTCTTATTAATCTAGATTTGAAATGCAATTCTGATAAATAATTTTCAATAGTTCATATGAAAAATTATTATAAATGTTTGAATATTATGCAATAGGAAAAGAATCGAATAAAATTCATGATATACATAAGTATCTTTTGGCTCTTTGCAATAAAAAAATGGTTGAAAAACTCGCAAAAACCTAAAATAAATAGTAAAGAGTTAGTACTTCTAATGAATAAAAAATAAGACCTTCAATTAGTTATCGTCCTAAAGAAAAATGTAGAGTGTCATAATATTGTAGATCCAACTTTAATAGGAGCTCAATATAAATATTTTAAAGCCCAACCAAAAAGGAAACAAATTTATTTAAGCACACTTTAAAAGGATCAATCTGAATCAACTCCGAGATTGAAAGCTAATTCTATTATTTAAGAATAAAAAATTGAAAATTAAATGAATTCTGCTCGAGCCATTCAGACAGCATATTAGCAAAATGAAAGAGATGTATCGAGTTAAAAAGCAGAGAAATCTCCTAAAAACTACTACTTACCTAAATGTGATAGTAATTGGATAATTCATTTAAAAAATATCAGGTCAAGATAAGAATAATTATGATCATATAAATACTATAAACATTTCACCTTGGTTTTTTTCCAATTTAAAAAAGTCTATTTTTATGCTAAGTAGTTAAGAGTTTAGAATTGGGAAGTATATTAATCAAATTTAGATTAAGTGCCAGTTGTAGAAGATTCAAAAATCTTTTATCAATTTAAGTGGGCCTAAGTTATCTAAAAATTTTCGTTTTTGAAAATTTTAAGCTATGTGCTTTTGAAAAATTAAACAAATAAATTGAATTTATTCTTGCTTTTCATATTCTTTTTCTGAATTATCATCACTTAAATTAGTATTAATTATCAAATTCATCATTACAATTTATAAAACGATTTTTGATTATTATCTATCCTAACAATTTTAATGCAATTATTATGTATATTTTAGTTGCATTATATTAAGATAACCTATGAAAGATTCTTAATTCCTCTATTGTTTGATTATTTTTCTATCGGTATTTTTACATTTGCCAGAAACATTTACATTTATATAAATATTCAAACTTAAAAAATAAAATCAGTTATTCCTAATTTTCTCTTTCTATTTTCTTGTTATTTTGAGGATTCTAAATAATTTGATTAACTTAAGTATGAATAGCTTAGTGTACTATTCATTATCTCTTTTTTAATAAAATTAATTTTAATCTTTAATTTGTCCCCTCAGAAAAAAATCTTTATGAATCACTTTCATCCTCTTAATATACTATTCCATAAAATGATTTTTACAATATCTTGTTGTTTTATTTTACTATACTAAAAAGCTGATTTGTTTTCTTTGCAGCAAAAATACTTTTCAAATTTTCATATATTTTTTCAGTATCTGTTCCATAATCACTCAAACTCAATAAAAGGATTTATAATTTTAGTGTTAGAAATATTCTCATTGCTGTGATATTTTATCACAAACATTGTTTAAAAGGAAAAAATAATTGAATATTTAGTGATTTTTTACAATTTGAGAATTTAAATATAAGTATATATCTAAAGATCATAATCGATTTATAAGATTATCAAATTCTTAAAACATATAAAATGAGATTTTGATAAAATTCAAAAAATCTATATAAATTATAAAAAATGCTTGAATGCTAAATTACAAATTTTCTTTGTGATTGAACTAAAGTAAACAGTCCATTAAATATTTATTGAAAGATCGAATGAAATACTTAAATTTGATATCTCTATAAAAAATATTAATGATTGTGATCCAAGAGTACTTCATAACCTAAAAAAAAAAGAATCAAGAAATTTAAGTTCATTTTATCATTATGAAGATTATTGATGTTAGCATATAAGGACTTGATTTAAATTGTCAATGGACAGAAAATGTCTCAGAAGAAAGAATTCTTTTTTATATAATAATTCTTAAGTATATTGTATATTTTAACATAGTTTTTTATTATGATTAATGAAATGATATATTCAATCAATTTTTTGTTTTTTAATTGCCTATTCTCCTTCCAATTCAATTATTTTTCTAAATATTAATAGTAGCAATATTACCTCTGAATAGCTTTTGATTTAGGTCCAAAGCCTTCCAAATTAGGGTAAAACATTTTGGCAGAGTTGAAAGTAGGCTTAAATGTGAAGTCTGGTTTATATTGTATTTCAGAAGTCAAAATTGTATAGGCAGGAGTATTTTCTTATATATTCTTAAGATAATTGTCACTGTATTTAATTTTTTTCTATTAATTTAATAATCTAAATAATACCCAAGTTTTTATTATATCATAGATTGCTTAATTAGGTGCGTTAGTCTTATAAAGGTCTACTTAAAGATAACATTAGGCAATTTTATAACCTAAAGATTGAAATCCGGCACTAATATATTTAATACAATTTACAATATTTCTTTTTTACTGATATTAGAGCATTTCAAATTAGATGCCAAATAAGTCATATTATAAGTATAAGGATTAGAGGAAACTTCATGTTAATTAATAATTCCTGTTAATTTACCTATTATCTAATCAAAGGTTTAGAAATGAGTATGCTTTGTTTCTAGATTGGTTAACATTTTCTTAACAAATTCAATATTATTTATTTCATCTATCCATACTGGGCCATTAATCTTAAATAAAGACCCGCAAACCTCACATTTGGATGGGATGGGTTTTTTATTGATTTTGTAACTTTTTTCTTCCTTTTGGCCATATGGATAAACATGAAATGATTAACAAGACTAACAGAAAAATAAATTACCAATCTGAGAAAATAATTTATGAGTCTCCACTTTATCCTTGATTACATGAACAAAAACTCTTAGATAAAACTCACCATAAAAAGATATCAATGGCTTAATTGCTTTACCTAATCTACCTGCTGCTTGACTAATTGTATATAATAAAGTTCTTAATCCATTCTCAGCAAAACAATTCATTTTAGTTCTTGCTGTACCATATTACTAATAAATAATCATAAATCATACAGCAAAACACTTTTATGTATCAGGACCACATAATACTCGGCTATCAGTACAGGTGATACATAATAATGAATCATCACAGGCATGAATCGCTGAATCTAAAAATGGACAAACTGTCCCATAGGGATCTAAGTCTATTACATCAAATTTGATGTCCTCCTTCATTAATTTATTTGCATCCATATTATATATTTTCACATTGCTTATTTCATTCAGTTTGATATTTTCTTCTATTAATGCTAAACTAGCTAATGAAAGATCATTTGCATAGATTTCTTTAATATTTTATATTTCTTATGCAAATCTAACACTTCTTAATCCGGAAGCAGACAATGCATCTAAAATTGTTATTGGTTAACGATTTTCTGAAAAAGTATCAATTGTCAATACTGTCAAATCACGATTAATTATTTGTGCAGGATTGTAGAATACTTCTTCTTCAATCTATTTGCCTTCTTTTATTTCGACCCTCTTTGTTTGTATAAGAGCTTTTCCTTCTTTGATGAATCTTTATCCATCCTTTTCAATGAACATTGATAATTCTTTCACAATTTATTTCATTTAATTTACAATATTTTTTAAATAAATGTTTGAACTTAAAGATAAAAAAGTAAAATGAAATGATGATAGGGTTTGCGATATACTACTCTATATTTTTTCATTTCATTGTAGGCATTGCTGTACTTAATGTATAGCTGTCAGAAGGTTCTTTCCATCTAGAAGTGATTGTTTTCATCTAAGTGAAAAATCTTATACCGGCCTTTCCATAGAAATTGGCATCACCATTAAAAGATCGCTTATTTCCAGTGAATGAAAACATAGGTAAAGGAACTGGGATTGGTAAATTAATACCAATTTATCCTGCATTCACTTCATTTTAGAACTTTCTAGCAATTGATCCATTCTATGTGAATATAGCTGTTCCATTACCCCAAGGATTACTACTAATATTAAATCTTATTACTTATTAATAATCTCGATGGCTTAATCAAGAGTATCTGCATACAAGATATTCAGAACTGGTCCAAAGATTTCTTCTTTGTAAGATGTCATATTTGTGTTCATCTTGAAATAGGACAATAGTATACATTATCAATTATAATTGGACCAACAAAATAGCCCTTTGGATATTTTGGATGTTTGAATGATCTTCCATCCAAAATCAATTTAGCTCCTTCTTTTTCAGCTGTGCCCACCAAATAATGAATTCTCTCATATAATTCTTTATAAGAAACTGGAGCAATATCTATATTTTCATGTCCAGCTCCAACTTTGAAAGATTTAGCCTTTGCAATAAGATCAGGAATCCATTCTCTGCTTTTTCCTACAAAAATAGCAACACTTAAAGCCATGCATCTTTAGCCGGTTGAGCCAAAAGCTGCAGAGGCCAAGGCATTCAAACAGTCCTCTTTATCAGCATCTGGCATAATAACGCCATGGTTCTTAGCTCCCATATTTATTTAACATCTCTTAAATGTTTTTGATGCATTTTCATAAATATAATCACCAGCTTTATTTCCTCCTACAAAAGAAACAGCTTTAATATCAGGATGTTCACATATATGCTTTGTTGTTTCAAAACCACCTTAAACTATATTAACAACTCCTTTAGGAACTCCAGATTCTTCTAATAATTTAGTCAAATAAGCGACTGCCCCTGGTACTCTCTCACTTGGTTTCAACACATAAGTATTTCCTGTTACAATTGCTATAGGAAACATCCATAACTAAAATGCTAATTTATGAATGTATACTGGAATCATTGCAGGGAAATTAAAAGGACATACTCCTGCACAAACTCCCAAAGGTACTCTATAACTATAGGTGTCAACACCTTTGGCCAAATTTTCAACTGTTTCACCTTACATTACATGAGTAATTCCACAAGCAGCTTCTACGACTTCCAGTCCTCTAATTACATCACCTTTAGCATCTGCCAAAGTTTTTCCATGTTCTTCAACTATTATATTAGCAATATCATCTATTTTAGATCTGATTCTGGCTTGATATTCAAACATATATCTAATATTCAAACTACAAATATTACCTTTATCTGGTTGGTAAAGGTACTTAAGACCATGTTTTAAATGCTGTTTTAGCTGCGTCAACTGCCTCATTGAATTCAGCTTAGGTTGTTTACTTTGTTATTCCAACAACTTCATCAGTCAAAGGTGATCTTCTTTCCAATGCTATACCTCCATTTGATGCCTTCCATACTCCATTAATGTAATTCTAAGCAATATTGCTGAATCTAAAAGATTGCTTTCTCAGCTAGATGTGGAACATTAATAAATATTTGCGTATTATTTTAAATCTTTTTACTCTAACATTAACTATTAAATACATATACTATATTAAATTTTATTATGTATCTAATTGCTCTAATTATCATTCATTTTATTTAAACAAATTGTTCTAATAATTAATTATTGTTGAAATATATCAAATCTAATCTCAACCTATTTAGTTGAAAGATTTAGAGATTAGTTATATAATTTAATTTTTAAAACCAAAAATTAAAAAGTAATACAAAATATAAAATGAATGTTCAACTAACTGCATCATAAAATAGAGAAATTATTAAATGAAGCAACTCATCTTTATTATTTAAAGCATCAACATAATATTGATTTAAGGCTTACAAATCATTTTCATGTTTTTCTTTAATTTCTTACATTGAATCTACTGATTTATTATTCAGGATTAAGGAATTTAGTTTTTGGATTTATTCATTTTATTTGATTATTTATTTGCACAAATCTATAAAATTTTAATTTTATTATTCTCTTATTAAATTAATTTCCTAATCTTTTTATTATGAATATTGCACATAGAATCTTAAATTCTATTATATAAGATAAAAAAATACTTCAAATATTGCCGATTATTCAAAATGTCGATCCTATTAAGATTAATTAAACTTTGTCATTGAATTCCTCCTTGAATGTGAACTTTATTAATAAGAATTTAATTATCTTTCTAATTACATTATCTTATTTGATTTTTCAGTTAATTATAATTGTAATTTAGTCACATTAGTTTCATCTGTATATTTTAATGATTAATTATTATGTGATAAAGCATGATCTATCTCAGATTTATTTTAAGATTAGAAAAAATCAAGACATGTAGATTTTGGTGATTGTCCAAATCTTTAATCAATTTCAACTATATAACTATTATTAGATGAATAAACTCCTTGATGTCTTAAACTTTCAAATGGTAATTTCTTTTCATATTAATTCATGTTTTAATATTCTTCTAATTCAAATTTAAATCTCTCCATCTTCTTTTTAAAAGATGCTGCTTCCTATTCTGCTTCATAAAGTTTTCTTCTTAATTTTGTTAATTCTGAATCAAAGTATGTTTGTTTCAATCCTAAGATTCTTTAATGCTCTTCTTTTATTCCTTGAATTTAAGATTTCAAGTTTTCTATCATTCTTTATTCTTTTGGATCTTTAACTATAATCTATTATTATTCTGGTTCTATTGATCTAGCGGTTGGAGGACAAGACAATAACTATGATTTCAGAGTTTAGTTCTTTTATTGAACTTTAGCTATTTCCTTTTATTGATTTTATACTAGTTAATTCAAATCTTCTATTATTTATCTGCTGTTTTCTATTTCTTTTAAATATTCTTAAAATTTATTGAATACTTCTTCAAAATCACAACAATTAAGTTTTTATAAACAGAATGTTTCCTAATCATATAATTATTCATATAATTCATGCATTTCTGTAATTTTATTTTGTTAATCAGATATTTTATTTTGATATTCTGTTTTCATTAATTCAATTTATTTATTTTGCTGGGCGATAATATTATCTTTTGTATTTAGATTTTCTTCCAAAGAAATAATTGTATTTGTTGTCTAATGTTCAAAATATCCACAATCTTGAAAACTTCCAAAGTCATCAAATTAATTTTCTAAAAACCCCATAATTTCTTATTATTATTGAGGCAACAATTCTTACATCATTTCAACTACTTCTTTAGAGTTTACTCTCAGCAGAGTATCAATAAAATACTGTATGAATTTTGCCTATTCTAAATTATAATCAGAAAGTGCTAAATCATCATCAAAGTTTCTAATTTCTAGTTTGCATTTTTTCCTTGCTAATTAGATATTATTTATGATTTGGTTCCATAATAATCTTCGAACATCGAATCCTAAACTAATAATCTTGCACAGTATATATACTAGTCTTCTATTAATTAAGCAAACACAATGCCATCTTAAATTTCTGAAAAGTTATGTATTTGTCTTTTTGAGTAATTCAATTTGTTTAGCTATATCAATAGTGATTATTATTACAAATGTTATAGCACTTTTCATTAATAAAATAAAATTAGATAAAAATATTGAAAAAGCAATTAATTATGAAAAAGTATTCTTAATTTGAAATTATTAATTATTATTTTTATATAAATAGGGTGAAATACATCCTCTTCATAAATCTTATCAAACTATATTAAGATTAGCATTTCTATTATATTCTTTTTTATTAATTTTAATTGATTATAATAATAAAAGTTTACATTAAAGAATATTAACTATTTAGTCTAAATAAAAATAAAGATAAATGTGATTGAGAATTTGTATCTAATCAATTTGGATTTAAAATAATTTTGGTGTTAAATCAAATTATTTAAATTGTACTTAAAAGCAATTAATTATTATAAAATATATGAATCTTGATATCTATTATGAATAAATCAGAAAGTGTTTTAATAGATAAATAAATTTAATGACTATTTTCAGGACATTTAAAGTGCCAATTTGATCTTTGATATTTCTATAATTTCTTTATTAGTTTTGATTAATTTCTGATGATTATGTTAACTTTGAGATTCTTTTTTTTGAATTTAAGACGATTTTTTGTATAGCTAATTTAATAGATTTTCAGAGTATGATAAGAAAGATTCTTCTTGATTAATGAGATTCTAATTTTAATCACATTTTTTAATTTCTTATCCTTTTTCACATTTATCTTAAAGTTATTGTTAAGAATATGGCTTATATTGTCTACGGGATAATGTACTATGTTATCTTTAAAATAATTTTAAAAGGTTCTCATTATCCTAAAGTAGGTTGAATTTCATACTTTAGTATTTTGATTAAGGTTAATCCTTGTTTTAAGGAATATACTTTATTTTATCTTACTTTATAATTATTTGGTTTCTTTATCATTTCCACTCAATAAATTCAATTCTTTTTCTTGATTCCTAGTATCTGTATCAAAAGAGCTTAAACCTCGTTGAATTCTATTGGAAAGTTGGCAACCTTCATTAGAATTACTTCTCTAATTAATAACCTTCCTTTCAGAATTAATATTATTGACCTTTTAAATTCGATTTACTTTAAATTGAATAGCATCTCGACGTTAATCTAATATTTCTTTTATTTTTAATCGTTTTTGATCCACCTTTCTTTATTCTAAATTTTTTGGTTAATGTCTTGGTGATGATTATGTTTCTTGTGGAGCAAACATACTCATAACCATATGCATTTATAATCTTTGATTAGCAGCCTCATCCTCCTTTTTCTTTCGATATCTTTAAATCATCTTTCGGAAAATATGAGCATATTTAGACATTTTTGATAAATCATTAACTTGTATAATCTATTGTCTTCGGTCAATGACTGAGTCAATTAATTTAAGTCTATCATGATAATTATCAAGAGATTCAACTGCATTTTTTATTTAGGCCCTTGAAAAAACATCTGAGATTTAGTTATATGTGTGAGCTAATTTTTTATTCATAATATTATTGATAAGATATAATTCATTAAAGAAATAGTTACCTCAAGTTCAATATTTACAGTTATAATAATCAAACTAATTTTACTAAACAGTTATCTATAATTTTAATTAGTAGCTAATAAGATTTATAACTTAATTTTACATTTACTAAAGATAATAAATGTAGGTTATTAATAATAAATATTCATGGACTTGATAATTAGTTAAAAATTATGTCCATTATTAATTAGAACGAATTAATCAAATTATAAACAAAAATATTATTAATAAATTTTTGTTTAAATAATATAGTAATCAAATGTATTTACATATTAATGATGCCTTTTTCAATTCATAATTATTATTAATTTGCTAATAATATTATTAAAAAAAAAAGAACAAGGATTGGATGAAAAAGTTTAGGGACTTGTGAAATAAAATCTATATTAAATTAATTAGGTTTGACCTATTCTTAACATTCAAAGACTTATACAATAAATCTAATAAATATATTAGATTCAGTATTTATAAAGTATTTAAAAGAAGATTAGTGAAAGTAAATTGCATAGCATAATTTAAAAAATTGTTTATTATCAAATGATATGAAATTGATGTTCAGAGTAATATCAATTAAGTTTGGGTTAAATGATAAACCAAACTTTTTACCTAATAAATATTAAAAGAAATTGATACTTTTACATAATGAATATGCAATAACCTAATTCAGTAATCATTCAACTCTATATTTTAGATAAAGATATCTGGTATCAAATATTACTTTATCTCAAAAATAGAATATAATCAAGTTACTTATTCATTAGTAATTTTTGATAGCCTGTGATTAAGGAATTCAATGTAATTATCTTAGAAACATATTAGAATTTCAATAACGATGAAGCTCATTAATTGTTTTAGTTTATAATAATATTTAATAAAATATTAAAAAATTAAACAAATGGAGGAACCTAGATTTTAAAAAAGTCTTACAAAAGAATAACCCTATTTTGCAAGAAAATTATTTCAGATATAAATGTCTAATTATTTTTATGCTCGTAATGAATTATTACCATAGTAATATCTCCATGAAACATTCTTTTTAGTTGTTTCTAATGCAGCATTATTAACTTGGTACTTTAGTAAATCAATTCCAAAAGTTATTTGTATTTTACAAATATTACGTAGTGGCAACTTGTTATGCTTCCTTTACTGTGATGGCTTATGGTTAACATGTTGAATTCAATAAATCCTTAAAATACGATTTACCTCAATCTATTTTTACAAGATTACTATATAGAGAAAAATTCAATGAAAAGTAATTTGATGAGTTTAACTAAAACTTTGTTAAAAGATTTCAATTATCAAAATCATGAGGTTATACTTATGTGCATCATTTAACATATTGAATTATTAAGTCTAATATTGTAAACCATTCATATTATTCTGGAAATCTGAATTATGGTATTTTCAACAATAATTTAGTTTAAAATATATTCTAATAATTATTATCTTATGATTTATCTAATAACCTACTTTAAGCATTGTAATTGTGGTGTTCATTTAAACTGAAGGATTCTTATATCAATATTTTTATGGGAAATAAGGATGATTAATAGAATAAGAGAATGTCAACTTGTCCTAATTCTAATATATACAACTCTTTTCACTAATAATTATTTTTTTAACTAATAATTAGATGAAAACACGTTATTTGGAAATATTTTGAATAAATGAAATTTTTGTTTTTATTACATTTTAAAATTAATGCAAGGATTATAGAAACAGCCTCTTCATCTTTTATTGGGATTTCAATAACCAAAACACAAAAATGTAATTCCAATCATTGATTTGGTTATTAAAGAATTGCAACAGTCTAAAACTGAGCATTTAACAATTTATGATCAATTTGGAATTTTAGAATAGAGATAATACAAAGTTGGAAATTTAAATATTAAAAGTGAAAATCAAAAAATGTTTGATGACAAATTGTATGATTTCTATTAATCCTAAAAATAATTGCAAGATTACTTTTTTTCTAAATAGTTTCCTTAACAATATTACATTCCTTAAGCAATTATTTTTTCAAAGAAATGTGTTCTACTTGGATTACCTTTTGAATATCTGAAAGGAGGAGAAATTCAGTTTTGTGACATTGATTAATTTGACTCACAAAAACTATATGAGTAAATTTTATTTTTTATGATGAGGATTTATCGTAATTATGCATAAATAGAACAAAGAGAAGGAAAATGATTATATATTGTTTAACAGAGTACTTATTGAGAATTGCATTAATTAAGTCTAAAATTTTAAACATTCAAATAAATGCAATTATTGTATTCTTTATTTTCACTATTTTTAATTTGATCCTACACTTCTATGTCTTATTTGCTAAGAAACACTAGGACATGGACGTGCAAAGGTTCCATTTGAATTTGGTCTCCAAGGATTTTCAAAAGTCTATGTTGCACTTAATTTTTAGAAGGTATTTTATTTAGTTTTAGGATCTGGAACACCTTCTTCCATATATTAAAGCACTTCAAATGTCCCTTAAAATCCTTTTTTATTTTAATTAGCAGGTCTAAAAGGAGCACCTTTGTATAGAGGTCTTTTTTTTTCTAATTATTAATTAGAATAAAGTATTTACAAGATAAATATCCTGCTCCATCAAGTAATATTCCATCAGCAGTAAATGGTCGATAACCATGACTTGTTGTAATAAATCTAGTTGTTCCAGGTAAAAACTTGCTCTTGTGCTTAATCCTCTCCTATCTATCTAATTCTTCTTGTCTATCGTATGGATCAGGTATATATTCAATTTATCCAAATAAATTATTGGTGGTTGTTCTGCCTAATCCTTTTTTGGCAGGATTAGTTAAGAAATTTCTAGCTTAGGTTCTAACATCTCCTTTTGGAGTTCTTGTATTATATACTTTATCATTAAATTCTTTCATGTGTTCAAATTCAGAATGTTTACTTTGATTATGATTGAATAAATTTACATTGATTTAATGTGATCATTGGGCTTGAAACAATTTGGGTTTTTAATTGCTAATTCTCTTTCTTTATCATAAATTTATTTGGCTTTAAATTAATCTTTGTAAGGATCATTTAATGTTGTATATCCAGGCTCCAAAAATAATGTAGGTTCATGCTTTTTTTATAATTTTTTATTGACCAATATACCTTTCTCTTTGCCTTAACCTAAATTTATATAAGTAATTGATTACTTTTTAATGCGTCGTTATATTAATCACCTAATAATAAAGGAGGAGGCTGATTAAACAATCCATGACGTTCTCTTTTCACTATAGATTCAATATTACCTTTGAGAAATGTTTTCTAAGTCTCTAATATAATTATCGTTAGATGGTATTCTATACTAAGTTGACATATATTATATTATTATTATTCTTGAAAATTAATTGAAATAAAAAACAAAAACATTTCTTTAAATAATTATTAGAGTTGTATTGCTCTATAATTTTAATGATAAAAGCCATTTAATTTTTAAATTAAAACAATGTCATCTTTAGCAACAAATAACTAAAAAATTTGATAGATTAAGAAAATAGAAAAATTTAAATTGGGATATTTTTATAATGTACCAAATATAAATGAAATCATGCCTTCTTCTTTTATTTTGCAGCTTATTTGGTGGCAATATCGATCTTCTTTAAAGCATTAGCTCTTCTTTATTTAGCATTTAATCTCTTTGCTCTGAATTTGGTGTGATCTCTCTTTGGATTTTATTTAACACCTCTCTTTACTCTATCACAGTTCTTTCTGATTTCATCGTGAATCTTCTTGAATAATTCTTAGACAGATTTGACACCAGCCTATTTATATTATATTATTTAATACAGTCTTTAAGGTTTATTCCCAATTATGGAATTAGACATCAAACTTAGATCTTCCATCTTTGTTTGTCTTCTTCTCCTTTTATAAAAGAGCCATGTATTTATCTACATGAACACCAAAGATTCTATCTTTGTGAACATTGGCATCATATTTTTCTTTCTTATCATTATCAACAGAGAATCCTGGGAATCTTCTGTTATTGTGTGGGATGTGAATTCCACCATCAGCAGCTCCCTTTAAGGCAGCAAATACTCTATTTCCGAGAGTAGATCTAACCAAACCAATATCAAGAACAGCAAAGAATGGTCTTCTTTCTGGGTTTTCCTTATCAGCAACATCATACAAGTTTCCATCAATAGTTTTATTTCCTTCATAGAATTTATCCATCTTCAATGCCTTAAGTGTTCTTCTGGCTAATAATAATCCTGTGGCATATGAAGCAGCATAATTGGTTAAACCACTTGTTAAACCAAATCTCTTCAATTCTGTAGATTCAGCAGCAGCCACAACCTTATCTCCCTTTAAGGTAGCATAGATCACTTAGCAAATGATCTTTGTGTTTGTGTGTCTAACAACAAATCTGTATTTTGGTGAGTTATATTTATCCTTGTCTTATACGATCATTCTGCTTCTTGCATAATAATCAGTCTTTCCTTCTCTTCTTCTTCTGAATTGAGTTTAGAATCTTTTGAAATATGGTTTTCCTTTAACAAGCTTAACAAATGCCATTAATTATTAAAAAGATTTGAATTTCCACAAATTAGATGCAAATACTTATATATAAATAACAGATAATTTTTAACTATTATTTTTTAGAATTATATACTATATTCTTTATTTTAATCAATCTTTCCATGTATATTTGCATTTCACTCTCTATAATCATGAGCTTATATGAAAAATAACATAAAATCCTATAATAATCAAAAAATGAATCAATTCATATTTTAAAACAAGAATTAAAACTGAAATAGATGAGTATATTGAGAAAAATATTATTTTACTTAAATACTATAGAATATTATAACTGAACACTTTTCAGATTATCTTCTTAAATTCATTTATTTTTTTTTTTCTCATTTAGTAAATAATTAATTCAAATTAATTATTTTTCAGTTAATAAGTATTCATGATTAAAGTGGAAAGTGATGTGACTCCAAATTTTTAACCATAAAGAGATATTTTAAAGTAAATGGAAGAGACAATGATGGTATTATAGAGACCTAAACTTCTTCATGCTCCTCTAATTTAATAAGAAGAGTTTTCATAATAATCAATGCTTCTAAAAGAAATTGATTTTTTTTGTTAAAGGCTTACAACTGTAAAAAAAACAAAACCTAAAGTTGAAGATGTATCTACAAAATAATTTACATGTTCAACACCAGAAATTTAAAAGTTATAAATGTTAATTGAACCAGATGAAATGGATGAATAATAACATTAAGTTAAATTTGCTGATGAGTAATAGTAAGATTTAGAAAAAATTAGAACAATACCAACTGAATAAGGATATTAAAAAAGGACAGGTATTGTAAGGCAATAACAACCAAAATTAATAATAAAAAAATTAGAATTTGAATTAGAAAATTAACCTTCTTGGATACCTGTTAAAATTGAAAAAAAATTAGAATAAGAATTGAAAATAAACTTAAATCTATGTATATTTTGGCCTGAAGAGGAATTAGCCAATTTAAGAACTTAAAATATCAATATTTTATCTATAATTGAGAATATGAAGAATATAAATTATTTCAATCAGTCAATAAAATAATAGAATAATAATAATTGTCAAGATTTCACAATTCTTAGCATTCAACTCTTATAATAATTAAAAATATTCAGTATAATATTATGCTTGAATTATATTCATCCTATTAGAGAATTATGTATAAGGGCAAATGAAATAAAAAGAGAATTATTAAGTGAAGCCTTATATGAAAGAAAGAAGAATATGTTACTATTAGAATAAAAACGAATAACAAAAAAATTGTTTTTAAGATATATGTTTTTGAGAGTTAAATACAAAAGTGCAATTTAAAAGATACTGAATGATACAATTTAAATAAGATAAATGATAAATAAAAAAAAATGTTTTTAAAAGCTATATTTATACTCTTAAAGAAATAAATCAAAAAATGAATTCTATGAATTAGTTTGTGATCATATGAGAGTGCAAACATTGAATAGAATTTTTTAAAATTGGAGAATATTTCAATAATTTTTAGTTCGATAAAGAATAACAGCAAAATCTATAAAAAATATTATCTTAAGATAATCACTGCACTCATGGTAATAAAATACTTAATAAATTATTTAATAAGAGAAGAGAAAACTATAAATAGAGAAAGAATAAAGAGAAAAAGCTTAAATTGTTGAAAATCAAAAAGAGAATGATGAGGATGTAGATGATAATCAAGTATTATCTTAATTTTTAACAGATGAAAAACCAAGAGATATGTATGAAGGACCTTATTGTTTAAATGATATATATACTATTGATGAAAGAGAAGTTTAAGCAAGGAAAATTAAGGTTATCATTTTTGAACTTAAAGAAGATTTAAAATTATGTCCCAATTTAATGTAAAAAGTATTTATCAAATGGAAAATAGCATTTCTTCAAAGACATAGATAAAAAGAATTTATTTAAATTATGTAATTAAGAAAAATGTAGAAAGTTTTTAAATTTTGGAAAAATGATAAAGAATATCATCCATTTTATCAGTTTTTATTAAAAAGGAAAGGTCTTGAAGGTTTCAGATATAATTAATTAACTAATAAATAATAAAAATTACAAGATTAATTAAAGATAATTACATTAAAATAATAAAGATAATAAATAGAAGATATGGCTATTGAAATATATAATAAAAATGTTTAAAAAAAAGCATTTTATGCTTGGAAATATCAATTAAAAAATGAAAATTTACATATATTATGGTAGTCACTTTCAGATTAAAAGTTAAAATAAGATTTTTAAATAGTCTAACTTAAATATGATATTATTTAAAAGAAAAGAAAAATTAAATATTTCAAGAAGTGGGTTTTGAATTTTATAAAAAGTCGTAGATCTATAAAAAATTTATAATAATGTGAAGTGACTGCAAAAGAAAAAGCAATAGAAAGTTTAATAAGGATTGCTTTTGAAACATCTATGAAAACATAATTTAAATGGTTAGAATATTATAAGGATAATTGAATTTAATTTTATCATTTTTAACAAATTTTTCTAAAAAAATGATAACTTTCTATATTTTAAATTATGATTTATATAAAACAAATAATATTTGAATTTTCATTAATGTAGTTGATACTATTCTAAACTGGCTAATATTTATAAACGTTCCTTATCATTAAGTTCATCTGCAATTCTTTTTTTAAATCTTATGATGGACTTTTCAACTGAATATTCCATCATTTTTTCTTTTAAAAGATTTTTAGTTGAATGTCCATCCTTCTTTTAAGTAATTATTTAAACCTCTTCATTAATTGATTACTATATTTATAAATAATAAATATTTACATTTCTAGAAAATGATACTTCTTCAATATCTTTAATAATTTTTTATTCTTCATCCTTATCTTTTTAATTAAGTTCAATGACTCTCATAGCTATTTCTTAAGTTTATTTTCTTTTTTCAGGATTATAGAGATCTCTTTCATCTCTAGTACTTAAATCTTAAGCTTAAAATTCTTTAGAAATAACTTTTCTTCTCAATTCTAAATTTTTATCATCTTTCATATGTAAATATATTAGTTTGCATCTATCAACATATAAGGGTTCTAATTTTGTTTTATATTATGTATTAAATTTAATATGTGTATAAACTTCTATGTCTAATGCCAAATTTTTAATATATTAAAATAAAACAGTGTCTGGATTACTAATAATCTCTTTTTCTAATTATGTAATAGAATTAGGATCTTTTTCATACATATCTTTTAATTCTTCTACACCATAAAAAATAACTGAAAAGAATTTTTCTCTAACTTCTTATCTTTTCTTATCAAAACTTGATGCATTTGATTCCATTTATCTATATCTCTCAACCCAACTTTTCATTTTTTCAACAGCTTAAGGTGATATATTTTTAAATGGTTAAGATTATTGTTTCTATTATTCAGGTGGATTAGCTTATGGAATAGTAATATCATGTGTATAATTCTTTTCTCTAGAATTTCCATTTGTATTTGAATCTTATTTTACTATTTATACTTTAGATTAAATTTGACCATCTTTTGTTTTGATTTTTTTAACAATTTTCTCTAAATCTATTCTTCTTTCATTTCTATCTAATTATTCTTCTTCTTCCTCTTCTTCAATTTAAATAGCTCTTTATTCATGTGTTTTTTATTAATTTGTTTAAATGACAATAGTAGATGATCTGGTCTACAATGCATCTTTAATACGTTCAGTAATTTAGTGATTAGAGAACATTTCTCTACAAGAATCACAATTAGCATTTCCTTGATCAAATTATTTTATTAGACATTCAGCATGAAAAGGCTTTTCACATGAAGTACAAAGCACAAGTACCTAATCTGGATTTACATATTAGCCACAAAAACACTATTTTAAAAGAGGCATTAAATCTTTCGAAATAAACTATTGTCTCATCACATATCCTTTCTTTTCTGTCATTTGAACATATTCTGGGAGTTTACTTAATTGGACTTTTTCAATAATATCTGTCATTTTCCCTTTCTTTAATTAATCTGTTTTAAACACTTCATACAATCCATGATGTGGTTGCTTACCTAATAAAAATTAATAAAAAAGAAAAACACAATAATAAGGATTATTGGAAAATGTGTGTTGTGTAATATTTAAATACAATATAAAATACAATAAATAAACCAACCTGTTGGTAATTCTTCGCTTAAGATGTATTCGAAATATTCGAACCAATCTTCTTCACGACTAAAATTCTCTATCTTTCCTATGCCAAAGGTACTACCTTTTCTAAATTTGACGAAATCAGAAAAATTATAGTTTTCACTCATTAAATTATTTTTATTAATGACTTCATAATTATAATGTATTTGATTTGAAAACAAATAATTGTGTGATTATTTATAAATCCTCATAATTAATATAATCATTTTCCAGCTTATTTTAGTGCTTCTTAATAACTCATATTACTCACTCTCTCTTTTGTATCGACTAGATAATAATAACTTAAAAATACCTCTTGCTTTTGTTGTCTTTGGTATCTAAGTACTAGTTAAATTTGATAAGGAATAAGCAAGTGCTTTCTAATATAGATTGAATATCAATTACAGAAGTTTCAGAATCAAGTTTTCCATAGAGTAATTTATCTTTATTTCTTTATTGATTTTGATCACAATAAGCTTCCTTGACTTCACTTCTATATCTGAGATCTGCTGGTAAATTAGATCTAGATTCAATCATCTCTCAATTTAATTACCCTTAGTGATTTTATCTTGTACCAGATAAAAGTGTGATTTTCCCAAAAGTTTTTCCAAACAGATTTTCAGCTTTTATACCTGGCACAAATCCAGCATAATCTAAATACAGTTACATAATGAATATAACTTGGAATATGATTTCTATTGCCTTAAATCTACAATAAATCTGCATCAAAATTCTATGTTTGAGTAAATCTACATTAAATCATTCTCATACCCTGTATATCCAGGAATTGCATTAGCTCCTTTTTCTGCTTAGAACATTTATAGCAAAATATTTTATAATAAAAATTATCCTGCACAATACTCTAATAATAACTTAAAAAAACAAATCTGTCTATAAACCAATAATCTTTTGGTTATATAGATTATATATTTATTCTTTAAAATTTAATTTTATTGATAAACACCCTCTTTTTAAGAATGGTTCATTATTTTTATAAGAATAAACTATAAATAAGTAATTATGATAATATAAAAGGTTTGATAAATCAAGAGAAAAATAACTTAAAAATCAATGATATAATTAATAATATTTATATTTTCAAAATATAGATATTTTTAGAGTGAAAAAAAAGAATATTAAAAATTATTAAATTTATATTATGTATTCTTAATTGATATTTTGCTGTGTTTATTGTTCTATGTATCTCAATTAATTTATTAATATTCTACTTTTTATTTTATGATTATTACTTGGTAATTGAAGATTGTAGTTTTTATAATAAAGTGCTTTATTCTAAGTATTTTATAGAAGATAACCAAATGGATATGATTGTAAATATTTAGATCCTTAAATTATGTTAACTATATCTCATTTAATCTTAGTTCATTAATTTAATTAAAATAAATGGCTGAAGACCTTAATCATTTTGCTAAATATCAAACTTATTCCTCTTATTCAACTATATATTAAGAATTAGATACTCCTAACAAAACTTAAACATTAAGAAGAAACCCATTAGAATATTACACAAAAAGAGGTCTAGATCCACCAAAAACAATTTATGGAGATCCAGCACAGATTCTAGATCCTTAGATTCCTTAAAAATAGGATTAACACAAAGAAGAAAATACTGTTGGATCGGTTCATCACTTTGCAAGTGAAATAGATCGATTATGTTTAGAAGTTGGTAAAATACTATAAAAACCTTAATCAATTAAAGATCAGTTAAACAATAAAAAGAAAAAACCCTAAGAATAGAATTAAGATTATCCTTCAAATGATATGCATATTTAATCACTCAAATAGATTAAATCTTTCAATGAATTCAATCCATCAATTCAACAATATAATACATAATAACTACTACATGAATAATAATAGGAATAACGACAAGTAAAAGTTGATTAATCCATCAAAGCCAATTATTAAAAATAAGGACTTCAATTAGAATTATCACCATAAAATTATTAAACAGATCCATAATTATAATAAAAAAGAGATGAATATCTATTTCAAAATTAGAAAAAATCTGTTTAGCAATTATATTAAAGAAATCATAAAGCAGGTACCTTTTCTTGGAATCTATATAGTATTGGCTGTTGATGAAGAGTAAAAAAAAATGAAATAAAATTAAAGATCCTAAGGAGGTTCTCTTACTGAATTAGCCTAACATTAAGATGAAGAAATATAGAGGGCAATTAGGGTTTTATAAGGGGGATAGAAAAAAACTTGAAAATGAGTTATTTATTAAACAACTTTTTTGTTTAAATAATATATAAATGTTATAACTAATTTAGGTTAATAGAATTCATTATTTATATGCATATTGCACTAATTCTTAAAATCTGTCTTCTCTTAATTCTGAAAAAATTTATTATACATTTTCTTAATTTTTAGCTAACAATAATTTAGATTTATATTTGTTTAAAAAACCAACACATAAAATTACTAAAATTTCTAAACTATCATGTCCTATTATTTAATCATAAATAGTTAAAATATGTGGTGGATCCATATCACCTATGAAACAATAAACTAATTGATGTATTATCAATTTTAATGTATCACATCCAATTATCTTTAAATGATGAAATAATTTAGGAGATCGAGTACTTACAATTTCTTCAATTTACATACATAGAGATAAAATTGAATTACTTTCTGATGAAATAGAATGTAAAAAGCAAAAGTATCTACAAAAAAATTCTTTAAATAATGCATAAATTATATGTATTTTTGTAGATAGGTAACATAATGGTGCAACATATTTGGAAATATTTTTGAATGGAAAGAATCCTGTGATTGGCAATTGAAACTCTGCATGTTCTTTCTTTATTCCACTTTATAATTATATCTAATTATTAATTAATAAAAATACTCTTATATTTTCTTTAATTGTTCTATCTCTAATAAAACATTTTAAACAAGTAAGAATTTACTCTTAAAATACAAAATAAAATGTATCTTCAGATATTTCATGTCCATCTATTTCGAGTAATTCATCATAAAATAATTGATTTAAGCATTCTTTTTAAAGTTTTGCAAAATGTTATTATAAGACAGTATCTTAATGATCAAATTCAAAATATTTTAAATATAGAAGACATCTCTCTCCATTAGGTACAAAGGTTTAAGCTATTTTTTCTAATTCAATATCTAAATGCTCATTTTCAATTTACTTTCTAATTTTATTTATTTTTTCATCTGACAATTCTTCTTATAATAATAAGTATTAATATTTGTCTAATATAGATTATGATGACTTTAAAGGTATATTGATATTCAAAATTTTATTTGATTAAAATTGAACATTTTAGTATAGAGTATTAGATTATTATTATTTAAAAGTTTATAAAAATGCCAATAGGTTCTTTTCATCATATATGTATAATTTAGAATCAGTATTAGTGTCATCTTCTTCTTAATTTTTTGTTTTTTAATGAACAATGTCTAAATTTTTAAATAACAATTCGGTCCATTTTATTTTTGAAGTGTTTAGAAATTCAATTTAATCCTCTTTAAGAGTTTCTCTTTTCTTAGATTTTTTAAGAATATGAGATATCAATTTAATTAACTGATCTTCAATTTCACAACTCTAAGCAAATTTTTGAATATCATTCACTCCAATCTTCTATTAATCATTAAACCCTTATTTAATCTAGATAGATAATTAAATACTTTCTTTTTAATATCCCAAAATTATTTTTAAGACTTAAGTTTCATCAATATTTCTTAATTGTCTAGTTATTACATTTTTACAAATTATTTATAATACAATTTATTTGAACTTGTAAACTATAATAATTACTTTTACATAATTTATTCACAATGAATATAAGGAAATGTTAATCATTATTTTTAAATGCTGTATATATCATAAATATCAAATTTCTTCTCCAGCTTATTATCTCATAGCCAATTATTCTCTCAAGGTTCTCAATTCCTTGTTGACTAATCCGATGGTTTATGAAACAACATCTCTATCAGAGGTTCTGGCAGATCTGGCATCTTAGTAATCTTAAACAGCCTCTTCACATTAAGTGAATCTATCATGTCTATCGGCTGAAACGTTTTCAATTCTTTATTCAGTTGTATCGAGTGAGGCTTCAACTTAAGCAATGATATCATTCAAAGATGCTAAGTCAGAAATGGCATTAGCAAGGGCAGTACCAGCAACATTCAAAGAGATTACGATGAAGTTTCTTGATTTCTTATATGCTTCAACTCTCTTGTCTTCAGCAAATCTCAACAAAGATAAAGAATCAGCAATTTTGGCCAATAATTCATCAGCTAAATCAATGATCTTTTAGACGGCACCAGCATCAGCTAATTATTCAACTTTTGAGGCAATTGTAGCAAAGGCTTTGAATAATTTGCTATATCCCTTTCTGTGTTAGAATTTAGCAGTCTTCTTGGCAGATGTAGTGAAATGCTTTTAGATCATGTTAGCAACATCCTTGGTGAATTTGTGTGGTTATTTTGTAACTTTTCCTTTTTAAATGAAGGATTCGTGTTCGATGTTATCAGCAAAGAGTCTTCTAGCTTCAGCGATGATAGCTGTTGCTTCTTAGTGTTCTAAGACTTTCTCTTCGAAATCTTCATGTTCTTCAGCTCTTTCAGCATCAAGTTCATCCAAATCCTTTTAGTATCCCTTGACTTCAGCTGTCTTTTAAGCTACTAATCCTTCCAAGATTGATCTTTATGGGTATAATTATCCTTCTAATCTTGCTTCAAGTTCAATCTTCTTTCTGTTAGATTCAGCCAAATCCTTATCGAAAGCAGAGATATCCTAAAATATAGACTTATGTTCTTACAACTGTGCAAGCACCTTAGTACTCTTAATTTTTAGCATCATCTTCTTTTTATTCAGCTACATATCTATCTTCTAAGTCTGTCAATGTAGATAATAATCTATCTAATGGGTCTCCTGTTTAGAGTTCTAACCAGATTGTATCAAACAATGTTCTGCCGAATGGTGATTGATCAATCTTTTTAATTGTAGCAATGACATCAGCTTATGTTGATGAAGCTAACACAATAAGTGCTAAAGCGAAAATGATGGTCTTCATTAATAATATTAATAAAAAATATCATTTGATATCTCCATTATGAATCAGGAACTAAGCAAAATTTATTCGTTTTTAAAGAAATATTGCGTTTTTTATAGTGATACTAAATTTTATAAATTTTTTATTTATTCTTTATATATAAATTAAAAATTAAATAAAATGAAAGAGAAAAATAAATAAATAAAAAGAATTTATTCTGCAACTGATAAATTTATTTCAATTTTGATTATTATTTTTGAGAAACAATAAAATTGAAAAACATCTTAATGTTCAAATATCATAATAATAATACCATCTAATTCTTAAACACTAATTAAAAGACTATATAAATTATTAGTTCTTTTACACATATAAATTTATTTTCTATTCTTTATTTATACATATATAAATAATTTTAACTTTTTTTATTATATAAATAAATTGTCATTTAAGTTATTAAAACAAATTTCTTATTATTTTAATGAAAAAAATGAAATTTGATTCTGCATGATTAATTTTTCTTGATTTTTGATTAATAAAATTGCTAGTTGCAAATTTTATTTTAATTTCCAGGAAACAGTATTTATTATAATTATAGTTCTTAAGTTAAAATATTATTGCTCTAGTCTTAATATCTAATGAATTATATTAATAATCTATGATAATATTTATGAAAATTCTAATATACACATCATTAATATAAATAATCTAGAATTTTCTAATGAAATTGTTACTAACACTTCTTTTTTTATCTGTAGTCCTAGGTTAATAAGTACAAGAGGAGAATGGAGTTTTAATATTGAACGATTAAAATTTTGAATATGTTCTGAAGAAATATGAATTTGTATTAATAGATTTCTATGCTCATTGGTGTGGACATTGGTATTAATGATAAATAATATTTAGTCATCATTTAGCTCCAGTATTTGCTTCAAGTGCAAGATAAGTTAGAAATCAGAATGTTTAATTTGCTAAAGTAATATACTTAATTAATTTAAGATCAATTGTCCTTAATATGAAAATTTGTGTAGAAAATATTAAGTAACTGGATTTCCAACCTTAAAATTATTTAGTGATGGATAATTATTAATGGAATATCAAGGTGATAGAACAGAAAAAGCTATTGTTGATTGGATGAAAAAGAAAACAAGTAATTTTTTATTTAATGAGTATTTAATAGATAAGGGATCTATTGAAGCCAAGTCTTTAGATTAATTAAAGAAGTTTACAGAATCTCCAAATTTAGTTATGGTATTCTTTGGTGAATAGAAAGAATCTTATGAATTTATGTAATACTTTTAATTCTCATCGTAATCACTATATTTTATGTTATTAGAAAAAATAAACATATCTCAGCTATGCATACATTTAATTAAAACTTTGCTAATGAAATGAGAGCTTAGGTGCCAAGCATTGTTATTTATAAACCTTATGATGAAAGAAAGGCTGCAATTTTTGATAATTTTGAAATTTCTTACATAGAATAATTTATTAAGAAACATTCATATCCTGTTTTAATGAATTTTGATATTTAAGTAAGAAATAAGAATTTAAGTTTATAGACAGCAAAAAGAATATTTAGAGGAGATTAGCCAACATTATTCTTAGTATAAAATTCTTAAACAAATCAAGCAGAAAAACATTTAATATTAGCTTTATCAAAAATAAAAGATTAAATTCTTATTTGCATAGCTAATACAGATAACAAATATGGGTTGAGATTGATGTAATATTTTGGAATTTAGAATGGTAAGAATGGATACTTACTTTATAGATTATCTCCCTTAGATTGTGGCATTTAATCCAATCTCTGAGACTTTTAATTTATTGAGTGAAATTACAAAAGATGGAATCATTAATTTTACATAATCATTCCTAGGACTCCAATAGAATTCATAAAAATAAGACTTATGATATGTTAATTTATTATGTTTTTAATAAGTTTAAATATCTTTTTTTTTATTAATATGAAATTAATATCTATGTAAAATAAAACAATCTTGAAAAAAATTGATTAATTTCATTCCATACCTTTAAGATCAATTTAAAAATCTAAGAAAACCTTTATTAAATCATTTAATATTATAATAATTATGACTTGAACATTTAAAATCAAGTGGAATCTTTTTAATTATCAAAAATCATTTATTTTATTTATAATTTTTTTTATCTTGGAAAATATAAAGTATAAATGGGTTGTTTGTTTTCAAAACAAGATAAAACGGGTACTTCATTTAAAGATTCTTTAAAAAAGAAGATTAGTCAAAGTAAAAAATAAGCAGCAGAAATAAGAGTAAAAACCTAAGAAAATAACCTAAATACTAGCAAATATAGCTTTAATTTGCAAGTTTCCAAGAGTCTTGAAAGGGAATAATTAGGTAGTAATTTAGATTTGAAAATTAACGAACAAGATGGCAGTGTTTTTAAAAATTACACTCTTATTGATTCTAGGTTTAAAGGATGTTAAAGTAAAAGATTTTTTTAGCTTAGACTCACTTATTAATTATTGTATAGTTAGCCATAATCTTACATAGTCTGTAAGATACATTAGATAACTAAATTGGGACTGCCTTACAAAACCAGCAATAGTGGAGTATGTCTAAAAAAAGAAATTAGTACAATATATATTTGAATTAGGAACACATAAACTTGCCAGAAATATATGAAATCTATAGTGATCCTAAAAATTATTATCTGATTGAGGATTATTGCAGTGGGAATACATTGTCAGCTTATTTAAGAGAAAACGGATCAGTTTCAGAATAAAAGGGTATACAAATTATGTATTAAATGCTGACTCTTTTTGAATATTTACATAGTTAACATTTATATCATGGAGAACTTTAGTTAGAATCATTTATGTTTTCTGATGAATCTCAGAATCCAGTATTGAAACTTGTTGACATTGAGCCCTTATTCTCAAAAACTGTTTATCATAAAGAAGGGGAATAAGTATATTATTATTCTCCAGAATTCTGTAAAACAAGATAAAAGTAAAAATAATGTGATATTTGGGCAATTGGAATGATAGGATATTAATTATTAACTAATTATCATCCATAAAAGAGTGGTACACAATTAACTATTTAATAAATTACTAAAAATATTATACGTGGAGGTATGAGGTTAGATTGTATTGATTTTGAAAGATTTAGTGATAATTGCAAAAGCTTTATAAGAAAATTACTAACATATGAATCTAAATAGAGAATTTCTATTTAATAAGCTCTAGAAACAACTTGGATAAAATAGATTAATAATTCATAAAAAACTGTAGAAGCATTTTAATAGATGAGAAATGTTAAAAAATTAAAAAATATCAATAATGTTTAAGCATGTATTTTATTATTGATGGTTAATCATTTCAATTAACAATAAAAACTATTTTTTGCATCTATTTTTAATACATTTGATACTAATAGAGACTAAAAGATTAGTTTTGATGAATTATAAGAAGCATATCGATCACTTTACCCTGGATAAAATTATGAAGAGATAATTGAATTGTTTAAAAAAGTTGATTTTGATAAAAATGGGTTTTTAGACTTTCATGAATTTATTATTGCAGCAGTAGATAAAGCTTCACTTTTAACAAATTAACATTTATTAGTAACTTTTAAAATGATAGATAAAAATCATAGTGGGAAAATTAGTATAGATGAAATTCTAAATATATGTTCATTAGATTATAATTGTGTGAAATTCAACTTTGATAAGACATCTAAAGATTAAAATAATAATGTAATTATTTCATTAAACAATAGATGACATTTACCTAATTTAAAGAGTTAATGCTTTCTCTTCTCTGATTTATTATTTATAAATTCAATTATTAATTTACTAATTGATATTATAATGTCATTTTTAATAAAATTAATAAAAATGAACCAAGATAGGGTGTTGTAACAAGAAACAAAAAAAAAAACTAAAAGATTTGATAAATTTAATTATCCTATTCTCAAAGGAGTTTCAGCAAAAGCTGTTACATTTAGAGATTAAATTGAAGGTATACCAATATAAGACATTTATATTGTTGAACGATTATAATATTAAGAATAGAAGAAAAAATGTTCTTGTTCCTGTGCTATTCAATGATGTAAATATTGATTATACTGAATAAATATTTTATTTTATTTTTCATTTCATGAATAATATTTATTTTCTATGGGTACTTAAACCTTATGTTCAATGTGATAATCTTCTCTATTCTATTATTTTTATAATGCTTTTGGATCTATAAATTAAATCTCATTTTTATACCTAATTATGAGATTTCATCACCCAAAGTATTTTATATTAATCTTATAGATTCAACTGGGAAACTATTATCAAGTACATGCCAATAATTGGGATCTCCTCTGAAAAATGTTAGATGACCCTCTTATTTTGTTTTTTCCTATAAGAAAAGTCATAAATATACCCCAATATTTTTAACTACTGTATGTAAATCAACAATTAGTTATCTAAAAAGTGGATCATTTTCTTATAAATTAAATCCAACCTTCTCATTTAAATTTGGATGATAATCATCATCTAAATTAGTATTATTCAAATCTTCAAGTGCATTTTCATTCACTTCCTCCCATTATTATCTCACAAAGCTAGCCATGACCTCTCTAATATTTTCACCTTAGAAAAAGTCTTAAAGAGCATCTCCACCCCCAACTTAATTAGAATAAACTATATAATTATAATTATATCTTACCCTTTTAAGATAAAGGTAATCCATATTTTTATTCATATTATTAGGTTGCTGCTTATATAGCTTCTTAATTATTAACTTAATCTTTAGTAAGTAATTTTAATCTGACTAATCTATTAGATTATTGATATATATCAATTACTTTTCTGTTGGAGTTTCATTCAAAGGATCAGTGAATGTTACTTTTGCTACTCTTTCAATAACAGGTTCATCATGTCTGACATAATATTTTGAGTCACGATAAGGAGTTTTGAAATCATGTTCGACATGATTAATTTACTCTGATGCTGGTGCAGGGTATCTGAAAATATTGTAACCCTAAAATTGTAAGATGTTAGCTCACTGGAGTTAGAATTCTAAACCATTACACGGATGGATGGAATAGAGTGTTATAAGCCCTATTTAACATGTCTTAATATATAGATTTCATCCCTTTTTATTAAATAAAAATATTAATTAATTTTATGAATTAAGAAACCCTAGAAAACATTCATTGAGAGATTATTATGTCTTAAATAGTTAAATATATTGTTAAAGAGATGGATATATGATTGAGAATAGAATGGATGATAGAATTAAAAAGCAAATTAAAAATATAAATCTAATATGTTCTATTAGTAAATCTGCTGAATTATGAAATCAAGAGTTTGACATTAAATATAATATAATTCTTCAAATCTTATGATAAGGAAATTCTTAATTAAATTTAAGATTCAATAAAAAAGCAAGAATACAAAAAATATAAAATTATAAATTAATAGTTTATTATTTCTCTCATAAGTAGATACTATATAATAACATCCAAATCCTAATTTTGAAATTAAAAATAAGAAGTTTTATAATATAATAATATTATTAAGAGAGAGTTTTAGAAATAAATATTTAATTTCTTAAATACTTAATAAATAAGGACAAAACAAAAATCATAGAGGTTAATCATATAAATAAAATGAAATAATAAGTATTATGAAACTTTTTATATTCAATTTGAGAATTTAAAGAGAAAGAATTTGAATTTTACTTCATATTATTATTGTTACAGAATTAAAAAATAATATATAATTTATGAATTAGAAATTAAGTATGCCTTGATCTAGGTGATATTAAAATATCTATATAATTCAATTTTATATATATTCATTGGAAGAATTTAGTTTAACAATTAATTTTTATAATTATTAAAAATGGATGAAGATGAATAAATAGACTAAACGATGGTCACTTTTGGATCAATAATAGCCATATCTGATTTTGTTGATCAAACAGCATTCTTATTTTCAGATGGATTTTTGAAACCTGAAGTATTTTTAAAAAACTTTGTACATAAAGAATAAAAAAAGTATTTAAGAATGATATAGAAGAAAAACATTTGATGGCCTAGATAATGATTCCTTTTACAAATGTCTGTTTTAAGTTTTACCTAGGGTTTCCGATACTGTTAAGACAAGAGTATTATAAGATTATAATGTAACTGATATTAAGAAAGGTGAAAAAGAGGGAAAAGATGTATTATTAACTAATTTTATAATTAGGATAAGATTAAAATGACAAATTAAAGGATGAATGAAGAACTTAGTCAATTAATGAATGAGTATAAGCAAAATATAGATGCTATTGATAAATCAAGGTGTTAAAAATTAACATACCATTAACCATTTTAATTATTACATATTGCAAGTGGTAGATTTTTAGCATGTCATGATAATGAAGCATAATTAGAAAATTAAAATTATTTGGTTAAATTAGATGATTTTTCAAGTGATTACACTGTTTTTAAAATAGTACCTGCATACATGTATTAGAGTCATGGAGAATAAGATGTTAATGCTGGTGAAATGTGTGCAATAACTAGAGCTATGCCAATCTCTAATAGATTTGCATATATTAATTGTTCATAATTAGAAATTTCAGAAATTAAAGGTAGTGCATCTTCAAGATCTGAACATATTTAAAAAAAAGAAATAAATGCTAGTGTTGATTAATCTCATTCATGGAAAATAGTATTATATTAATAATATATTTCTGAAAATTCAAGAAATTTAAGAGTAGGTGATTGTATATGGTTATATCATAGTGAAGCAGAAGCTACACTTTCTGTGAAAAAATATCAAGAAGCAGTAGATAAAGCAAATTTTACATTTTATCATTTATCTGAATGGCTATCAATTAAAAATTTATATGTAGCAATTACTAAATCTCAAACAGAAAGTGCTTAAGGGTATTAAGGAAGTACAAATGGATTATGGTAAATTGAAGGAGAGGAGTTTCTTTAAGGAGGATTTGTAAAATATGAAGCTGGATATAGACTTAAAAATGTTACTACTGGATATTATTTAAGTGTTACAGAAATTTCAGGTGATAAAAATAACAAATAAAATAAGAAATAATAATATAAATATCGTTTAACTTAAGAATTAGATAAATCTACAATTTTTACTTTTGTTGATCTAAAAACTTAACCAAATTAAAAATATTTAAAAGGAGGAAGTTATACATATCTATAAAATAGATTAAGTTAGAATTGGATGGATTTTTAAAATGATAAATAAAATCATGAATATATACCAATATTGAAAGCTCCAAATGAAAAAACTGAACATGCAGTATTTAAAATACATATGGCAACTAGAAATGAAGTTTGGGAAATCTAATTTTTACAATCTTGTTTTCGTAGATTAGCTAAATTTGTTATTTAAATTTAAGATCCAAAATATCCTGGAATTGATAATTTTTCTTCAAAAAGAAAATGGTTTGGAGTATTTTAGTAATTAAAAAGTTGTATTGCAGAATTAGAGAATTTTGTAAATAATAAATCATATACTACATCTGCAGAATAATAATTTGGATCTATTAATTAATATAGATAAAAATTAATGAGAGAATAATTTTATATTGATATCCTTATTAAAATTTTAGAAAGAATAATTACTAAAGGAGAATTAGAATTTTATTAAAAATTAGAAATTGATTTAGAAAAAGGTGATAAACAATCAAAAAATATATTTGAAATAGAAAGTAACATTATTTTTGAAGACAAAGCTTTAATGATGCATGAATAAAAGACTGAAAATACATTAAAAACTTAATATTATAATTATGTAAAATCTAAGGTAGAATTAGTTGATTAGATATATTAATTTTTAGGATCTGTATGTAAATTAAATAAAGAAAATTAAATATATACTTATGATTTAATACCATATTTTTAATTACACACTAAATATTTACCAAAAGCAATAGAAGCTATCATTAATATTGTATCAAATAATAAATATTTATTATATAAACTAAGCGAAGATATTAAGATTGAATTTTATGAAGATAATGAAATTGATAATTAACAAATTAAAATATTAATTAATCTATATTAGTTTGATGATAAAGAAGAATAAATTGAAATTAAATAACATGAAAAAATAATGAAAAAACCAGTCCCTTTAATTGAATATTTTATTAATTTATTATGGGATGATGAAGCAAAAAATAATTCATATTACTTAAAATTTTTAAGAAATGTTTGCAGTCATTAAGAATTTCCAATTTAAATTAATTAAGAAAATATCTTTAAGTTATATAAAAAAAATAATACAAAATAACCTAAATTAGGAGTTGAAACTAAAGCTGAAGAAAGTAAAAGTAATGATGGTACTGTAAGACTAACATCTAAAGCTGGTTAATTAATCATACCTTAAGATTGTGATATAAGAGATATAAATAAAAGTTCAAGAGATAAATTTATGTATATTATTGAATAACTCACTTTTTTTTCAGAAGTTGCTTTAGGAAGAAATTATTCATGGAAAAATGAACTTGGAGCTTAATTTGAAAAATCATTTTTATTTAGGAATATTTGGTTTAAGCATCCTATAGATCCTAAATATATAGATTTATAACCTGGATTTGCTAGATTAGCATTAACTTTATATATTGATTAAGAACCATTAAGGATAAAGAAAGCACCTATTATGTGTTAATTATTTAGTGAATGTGAAAAACCTAGGGATTATATTCTATTCAAGAGTTCAACTAAAGCTGGAACTTCTAATGTTTAAGAATTAAATACTTATAAAGATTTAGTTAATAATTTAATGAATTATGTTAATGAAAAAGGAAGTGAAATATATGAAGTTATGTGTCCTCCTATTAATAATCAAGGTGGTGAAGAGAGAGATTCTAAAAAAAACTAAAATTTAGAGGGTCCAGATTTTTTATAAGAAGAATTAATTTTAAATACTATGAGAATTTTGGATAAAATAATGAAATTGAACTTGATTTGGGTTTTAGATTATTCTTTAGGTGATTAATTATAACCTAATTTAAGACCATAAATTTTCATTTAATCTATGGTTAAATCTTGTTTAGATATTTTTACTTATGAAAAATTTGAACTTAATTTAATTTAAGCTCATTGTTAAACAGAAAGATAAAAAGTCTAAAAAAAATTATAAGATAAACAAAGTCAACATAAACTTAGTGCACCTAATTTTATGAATCTTTTAAAGAAATAAAATAAGGAGGAAGAAGATAATGAAGAATAGAGAGGGGAAAGTCAAACAACAAATGATCAAAATATATATTTAAATCCTGTTATGAGGGGATACTTAAAATTATCATCTCTAATGTAAACTATCAATTTTTTGGATCCAAAATATATAGAAAATGAAGTCTAATTAAAAATTAAAATATGTGATTTAATGGAATATCTATTAGATCTAAGATAAGATTTTATGATGTAAAATTGTATTGTATTTTTTAAAACCTAAGTTTTATAAGGAGATCATATAGAAAATAATCCTGTTACTTATAGTTAATATTTATAAAAAGAGAATAAAAAGAAACCCCGTAGTCATAGATTATCATATGAATAATTAGATTAAAGACAAAAAAATTTATTAATTATTTAAAGATTATTAAAAAATCATGCTTTAGGATTATTGCCTAATTTAGCTTAAACAGGTATAAAAGAAATAGATGAACCATAAAAAGAAGAAATTAGTTTAACATCATTTACAAAAAATTTAATGAAAATAAATTAGTAAGAAGAAAAAGCAAAAACTAGATTTTATAATTATATTAATAATCCTTTAATACCAGAAATCTTAGATCTTGATTAATATTTAAGTTTAGCTTTAGGTGATATCAATCCAAATGATTAGCCCATTGCTAGTTTGTTACCTACATTTTTACATACTTTTTATCATGTAAAAGATAAAGAATTAGAAAAGAGATGTCTTTAATTATTATTAAGATTATTTACTTAAAAAGAGGAATTTAAAAGAAATCTGTAAAATATGTAAGTTATCTTTGATGCTGAGAAAACTATATTGCATAAATATATAACAACAAATTTAGAAAAATTTCAGACTTTAAACGAACGTCTTGATACATGGATGTCCAGTTATATATTTGAGGATAGAATAAGTAGTGATTTTGAATAAGCATAAAAATATTTAACTAGTTTTTATCATGGTTTAAAGAGTGAAATAAAATTAGAAGATAATGAATTGATTTCATGTTTAGATGTTATTGATCCAAAGAAGTAATAATTATATGCAAATTTGGGTGCTCATATAGCTGTAGTTAATTTATTGCCTAATGGATTAAGATATATTCATGAATATATTATGGATAGAGAATTAGAAGAAGATAAAAAAGTTGTTATAATTGATTTTTTTAGATTAGCTATTGATGTTCTTAAAAATTTCTGTTTTAATAATAATGAAAATTAAATTATACTTTATGAGTATTTAAACTTCTATAGATATATGTAATATGATTTAGGCTAATTAGAATTAGTTGAATCTATATTTTAAAATAATAAGACATTACTTGTTCAAAAAGTTGATTAATAATTAATTGATATGATTTTATAATTAATTCTTAAAGAAGGTAGATAAAAAAGGTTTTTAAAAGTATTAGAATCATTAATGATTTATTAATAAAATTACATTTTTGACAATTAAATTTTAATACAAAATAGTCTATTACCAATTGAATTTGGAGAAAAAGATATAAAAATATTGTATTGTGATGGTTCAAGAAATAGTGATTTAAAATTATTTTTAGATGATCCAATTTAAGAACCTGATTTAAAATTTGTAGATAAATTAAGAGAGATAGATTATAGAGATACATTTAGAGATGAGCCATTCTATTATCATGCATAATTATTAGACATTCTTATTTAAACAACTTTAAATAATGTAGAAAAGAGAAAATTTAATGCAAATACTAAAGAAGAAGATGTGAAAAAGAATTTTAATATAAGTGTTAGTAAATTAAAAAGATTGTTTACAGCAAATTATCTTCTTGAAATATTATGTTCTAATGATGCATTTGTTAAAATGCCTATTACAACTAAATCTCAAATTTAATATATTGATAGTAATGATAAAATTAAAGGAGTTACTTTGATAAAATTATAAGTAATAGAATTTTTAAGATTGGTACATATTTCATCTGAAAGAGGATAAGTATAACATTCTTAACTATTTCATTGTAGATAATAAATAATAGATTTTATTACCTTTGAAATTAATAGACTTGATAAAATAACTGATTTATAATTATTTAATCAAGATCTAAAAGTTTATCATATTTAAGGTATATTCCCTTTTATTTTGGCATATCATGATAGATTCTTAAAAACTATTGAAAAATAAGATTTAAGAAAGGATCTATAAGTAATTGAAAAATTTGTATAAGAATGGTTAAAGAAGGTAAAAGTTTTAACTTCAGAAACTAATATACTTTATCCTATAATTACAACAAGTGAAGATGCAAAATTATTAATAAGATGTTTATAGACATTTTGTAAAGTTTTTTATGAGAAAACAGTAAATTAAAAAGAAGATCCAATTTGGAATTAAGTAAAGATTAAATTAGACTCACTTTAAGAAATAGATTAAGATTAAGGTTAAATAATTTAAGAGAATACTATTCCTAATCCAAAACCTGTAATGGAAATAATTGGAGGAGGATACCATTCAAAGAAAAGTAGTTAGACATCAAAATAATTGAGTAATCCTGATGAATTACATTTTAAAAAATCTAGTAAGAAATATTTACCAGATAAAAAGAAAATACATGTATTCTAAGAGAAAGAGGAAGGTGAGGAATTGTTGGAAGGATATGATTCAAATAAAGCTATTAAAGTAGAAAAACTTTGGAAATTATTTTTAAAAGAATTATTAAATAAGGATTAATTTGTTAAGGAAGCTGAAAAAGAAAGAGAAACTATTGCTAATGCCATTTTAAATATATCTAGTTTATTAAAACCAGAATTTAGTAAGAATTTAACTAATAAACCTGATGTTAAAAGTATTTCTAGAAAACTAATATCTTATCTTTAATCTGCCTTTTCAGATCCCAATTGTAAAGGGTCTATCTAAACATTATTACACATATTAAAAAAAATAATTGATACTGATCCAGCTAGAAAAGTGGAAATGCAAAATTTATTTGATAAATTAGGAGCAACATAAATGGTATTATTAGTCTTAAGTGAAAATAACTAAGATAAGAAATTAATGATGGTATTAATATTTATTATAAAAAATAGTCTTTTATTTAATTTATTAATACATTATTAGATGGAGGAAATGATTAAGTATAAGGAACTATATATAGTTTTATGTTAAATTTTAGTTAATCTGAAAATATATTCTAGAAAATCTATTTTATTATTAGAAAGTAAATTGAAAATTTAGAAATACTATCCAAATCTAAAGGAGGATCAGAAGATGAATCAGCTGGATTACTTTAAATAGATTATCATGAATTTTAAGAAGATTTAAGTTTAGTTTTAGAAGTTTTAACATTCTTGTAAAATGCTGTTGAAGGTCATTATAGAAAATTATAAAATTATTTTAGAGAATAAACTAATTCAAAAAATAATTATGATTTAACTAATGCTATCACAGATTTATTTAAAACTTATTATTATGATGGTCGTATTTAAAAAAATTATGATAATATGTTGAAATGTTTAGATACATTAAATGAATTAGTTTAAGGACCTTGTTCAGATAATTAAAAAGCAATTTCTGAATCTAAATTTTTGGATATAGCAGCAGATTTATTTTCTTAATAGTATATTCTTTCTCCACCAGAGGAAATTGAAAAGATTGGAAAAAGAAAATCTCTTTTAGATTAACCATTATAAAGATGGTAAATTTGTAGATTAATGAATAAAATATTGAATTTGATCATGAGTTTATTGGAAGGAAGTGAAATAAACTAAAATAATCCTATTTTAAAAAGAATAATGAGAAATTTACCTATAAATTTATTAGAAAAGCATTGTGTAAATGAATATAATAAATATGTCAAAATATATGGAGATAAATATGAAATAGAATCTTTAGAACATCTTTCGGTTGATCCATATAAATTAAGAAAAATGAAAGAAAGCAAATTTGATAGAATTAAATAAATATCCTAATAATAACCTTATTTTGAAACAATTTTACAAAATGGATTTCTTTTATTTTTTTTAATGAGTTATTATATGGAATGTGATCCTTATATTGTAAGTCCAATAATAAAAATTACAAGAATGCATAAAAAAAAGATATTAAAAACATAAACAAGCAATGAAGTTTGGTAAATATTTAAAGATTCTTTTATTTATATGTTAATATAATTTACAATTGCCTTAATTAGAAATTTATTTGGAACATTGAATTCAATGAAAAATTTAGCAACAGATTAATTTAAAAATAATTAAGTAAAACCAGATATGTCAGAGGAAGAGAAATAAAGAATTAAAGAAGAATAATATAGACAAGATTTATAAATGGCTATCAATTTTTATTAAGAAAATAGTGCTCACATTGATGTTATGCATGATGATAATCTAGAAGTAGTTTATTTTATTAAATTACCATCAACCAAATATCTACCTAAAGAATAGAAAATCTTATTTCATGATCAAGTAGATAGAAGTACTACCTAATCAAAAGTTTAAGGATTAATGAATATAGCTCCTACATTGATTGAAGTTTGTAAACATGAAGAATATTTAAAGAGATTATTTGATAGATAAAAATATTTAGCTTTGTTAACTGATTATGTTAAATTATGGAGAGAATTAGCATTTTTCTTAACTTTATTTTTGAACTTATTTATACTATTCAGTTTTGATGGAACAGTTGGTGACAGAGTTCAAGATTACATTTTTTTTAGTTAATATGAAGATTTTAATCCTACAATTACTAAGACTATTATTTATATTATTGGTATAGTAATGACTTGTTTATCCTTATTTGTTGTATCATTTTATTTACTAAAAAATGCACCATTAATTTTAAAGAGAGCTTGGTTATAAAAAGGATTATTTGATGATTAAGATCCAAATCCTTTGTTTATTTTAATAGATATGTTTTATAAATTTATTTAAACCATTTTAAGCTTTTTATAAGAAGTAGAAGTGATGTATTATATAGCTTATGGTTTATTTGCTATTTTAGGAACATTTTATCATCCTTTATTTTTTATTTTTCATTTAACTGAAATTCTATTTAGATATCCAACACTTAAAAATATCATTTTATCAGTTTATCGTCCTAGAACTTAATTAATTTTAACATTTTTCTTACTATTTTTATTGGTTTATGTATTTACAATTTTCGCTTATTGGAGATTATCAAATGAATTTGCAGGATATTGTGATACACTTCTATATTGTTTTATGATGAATGTGGAATGGACATTTAGAGGTTCAATAGGAGATTATGTTTAATAGGAACTTGGTGTAAATGCTGTTGCAAGAGAATTAGGTGTAGGCAGATTCTTCTTTGATGAGGTTAGCAATATTATTTTAGGTGTTATTATGCTAAATATTGTTGCTGGTATTATTATTGATACATTTGGAAGTTTAAGAGAGGAAGAAGAGAATAAATTAAAAGATATGGTTGATAATTGTTTTATATGTGGAAATCTAAAGTATTAATATATATATTATTCTTAGAGCTGATTTCGATCGATTACAATCAAAAAGCAATGGAGGATTTAGAGAACATATAAAAATAAATCATTACATGTGGAATTATGTTTACTTTTTTGCTTATTTAAAATGGAAAGAGAAAACAGAATATTCAGGAATAGAGAGTTATGTTGATTAAAAATTGAAAGAAGAAGATCTTTGTTGGGTTCCATTGAATTAAGCAAGAGAATTAGTAGATTTAGATGGTAACAAGGGTATTAGAGAAAAGGAACTCATTTAAAAAATAGAAGAGAAAGTAATTCACTTAATTATATATATAGATTGTATTTGTTTAAGAGTAAATTATTGATATGGGAAAATTGATGAAAGTTGAATTAAAAAAAAATAATTGAACAATATTATATATATATATTACGATATTTCATGTTTATTTCAATGTATTTTTATGTCATTTTTTAAATAATAAATTTTTTAATTGGTTCTCTTTCAACTTTACTTGTTTAGTTTATAATTTCCTTTATCAATTACTTTTGTAAAGGATTCTCTTAATCCGATTCTTTTAATCCTAAAAACATTGAAAAAGGTTAAATTAAGACAAGGATGTAAATAATTATTATAAACAGAAATGTAAAAGCTATAGATAATGTTCATATATAATATTTATATAAAATTTGAGGAGACTCTTTAAATACTTTATGATTTATTTTATTCATTAAAATTAATAAATAATATTAAATTAATGTGTATATAATTTTAGAGAATTCTCTTTTCAAATTTTACAAGCAATATTTTAAATTCTTTATGATATATTCACATTGTGTTTAAATTTTATAATCTATGAATAAATCTTGAATTCTTTTCTTAATATTATTAACTGACTTTAATAGATCAATTCAGCTTTTGATTTCAATTCTGCTTATACATAATATTATGCAATTTATAATTGTTTATTTGACTTTATATCTTTATTTTGGCAATTAATAAATTAGATTATAATAATCAATCTAAAAAAATAAGTTTATATGATATTATTATTCAATCATTTTAATAAATTATATACTATTATTAATATATTCCTTATAGAAATTAAATTTTTATATCTAGGAATATGACAGAACTAAATTATTTATTTCTTTATCAAAATCAAGGTATTAATTAAATAACTAAATATCATTCATTTTTAAATGAATAAATATCTAATGAGAAAGATATCCCTTTTTAGTAATGATTTTAATTGTTTAGGAGTTCAATAAAATTTATCTTTCTAATTATTTTGATTCAGATATTAATTTAGGAGTTTTTTATTTTAATGATTTACTATAAATTTATTTAAATTCAAATAAAGATTTCAAGAAATCCTTAACCTTTTGTCAAAAATATGTTTCTATTCAAAAATTCATGAAAAAATAGTATTTATATAAGATGTTATCCAAAACATTTTATTTAAAACAAATAATTTATATATATTATAATAAAGTTATTTAACTAATATTGAAATAATTAATTAAGAGAACTATTACATCTTTGAAAAGAAATAAAATAGCTTTAAAAAATCTTAAATTATTAGAACACAAAGAATAAAGCCATTAGAAATACAAATATTGATTATTTATTAATTTATTATATGTCAAATCTAATGGCCTCTCCTTCAAAGAAGGCTTAATTTAAATTTAGCAAAGAGCGATTCCAATATAGAAGTCTCTATAAACAAGAGATGTAAATAGAGGAAGACTACGACCCAAATGCTAATTAAAAAGTGGCTCTAAGTAAAGAAGAATACTTCATTCAAAAAAGAGATGAAAATAGCTCAATTGATTTGCAACAACTACTATTAAGTAAAGTAAGTATATCAAATAAGATAAGGGGGTTGATTTTAATGACCCGACTTAACACTTAAGATAGCTTCCGTTACAAATTTATGATGATGTTGGATTGGAGCAAGTGTTTGTGGATGACAGAATAGACTTTGAGAATGTGTTATTTGATGAGTAACCTTATGAAGTGACAGCAAAAATTGTAATTTGTAAGGGAGATAGTGTGACATTTGAATTTGGGTAAGTGATTGGATACGATGAAGCTAAGAATAAGTTTAAATGTGTATTGCCATCTCTAGGTAGAAGATTGATTCCAAGAGTCTATTTATGTTTTGATCATGAAAATCATTATAAATGGGCTGATCGATTTGCTTATGCTTGGTATCACAGAATTGTAGCTCATTCAGTATTAAAAAAGAATGCTTTTATTCAATGTATGCCAAGAGATCATCTACCAAATATGCCAAATGAATAAAAAAAGAAAATTGAAGATTTAATAAGAAAAAATAAAAAACTTGAATTCAGTGAAGTAAGTGCTTTGATGATGGATGCAGCTATTGATTATTAATTGCTAATGAATAGAATACTATTTGATTATCATTTGACAGCCAATCCAACAGATCTTGTACCACATGGTTTAGTTCTTCCTGAAACTCCACCTAAAAAAGAACCTAATTATTATGGAATGTTAGCATTAGAAGCTAAAAAAGGAGCTAAAGAAACATATATGTGGACACCTCATGAAGTTTTCTTCAATGAACCAAAAAGTTTCACTGAGATATTCAAAGAATTCTTATTAAATAGTATTATGGCTAGTCCTGAATCTGTGAGATGCTTATAATTGATAACTGAAAAATGCAATTAATTGTAAGAATTAGAATTCTTTTACATTAATGGATAAAGTTAATCTCCATTTAAATTAGAGGAATTTAAATAAAATAATGATTCATAAATGGTTACATCAATGAGTAAATTGAGGAAAGATTTTATGGAAGATGTTGAGAAAATTATTATTAAGTAATTTGGAGATAAGGAACTCTAAAATAAGGAAAAAGAAAAAGATAAAGATAAAGAGAAGGATAATAAAGAAAAGGAAGATAAGGAGAAACCAAAAGAAAAGGATGATAAAGACAAACCAAAAGATAAAGAAAAAGAAGTTGAAAAAGATAAAACTAAAAACTCTTTAAATCAATACAAATGGTTCAATTTAAAAGAAACAGATAGAAGTAATTATGATAAAGGAAGACTTAAAAAATTCTTTGCTTGTGTTCGATTAATGATACAAGATGCTATTTTAAATTTATCACAAAAATCATTCAATAATTATGATAAGTATATTAGAAGTTATATTCCTAATAATGTTATTATTAATGGCCCAGATGATGTAATAAATGAATTTGCAGATGGATTAGTTTTAAGTTCCAAAAATCCAGACAGCTTTTATGATCCGAAAGCTGTAAAACCATTATTTACAATTGAATTACTTAAATCAATAAATGAAGATAGTTTCTGTTATTCTACTATGATTCGTAATTATGCAACTACAATTTTGATTATTTTTAATAAAGCTTTAGAAGATTTAGCAAAGATACCTGATTTAGAACCAAAATTAATGAAGGAAATATTCAAAGGAACAAGATCAGAAATGTATTATAAGGTTCCTTAAAAATCTTAGATTACAAATGATCCATTTGGTAATTAAGACCCATATTTCTTTGATGAAAATATTTGGGTAAATAAATTATTTGATGCACTCAGTGAATATTTGGATAAATCATTTGTGGCATTAGATGAATATTTAAAATGTTTCTAAATTTACAAAGAGATTTTAATGATTAGACCAGAAGAATATATAAAGACTGTTGATAATGAAGAGAAACCAAAAGAAACAGAATTGATAAGAGATGAAATATTAGAATTATAAAGAAAAGAAGAAAAATTGAAATTATAGATACCTGATTCAATTTAAGTTGGATGTTTTAAAGTTAATTGCAAAGAAATCAGTTAATTATTGACAGGCAAATATTAATAATTATACAAATTGCTAATAGAAGTAATAGTTAAAAGAGCAAAATAATCAACATTAGCTTTGTATGATGAAGTTTAAAAAGTGAAATTAAGATTGAATGAACCTCCAGTTGATATTGAAAAATTAACAGAGATAAAACAATACATGGCAAATCTACCTCTTGAATTAGAAAAAGTTAAAGAAGATATTGATAAATCATGTGAATTATATGATTTGTTGGAACCATTTAAAGTGAGATTTTAACCTGAAGATATTCAAAGAAGATGGTAGGTATATGGTGGACCAAAAGAAATAATGGAATTAGTAGAAATAAGATCATAGGCACTAGAAAAGGAAAAGAGTATATTTTAAGATAAGATGAAATAGGAGTAAGATTTCTTTTTAGAATAAGTGAAATCATTATAAATAACCATTTCAACATTTTATTCATATTAAAATATGGATGATCATGAAAGTGTAGCTTAAAGAGTTAGAGGAATAAATGAGTAATTATAAAAGTTTTAAGAAAATGCAAGATAATTTAATTCTAGAGAACTACTATTTGAAATGGAATAAACTGATTATAGTGTAATATCATAAATGGTTAAAGAGTTCAGACCATATTCAGATTTATGGTTGACTACTAATCAATGGTTTAAAAATATTGAGCATTGGAGAAATGATGATTTTGAAAAGTTGGATGCAGATTATTGTGAAAAATTTATGGAAGAAGCTTACAAAACAACAGCATTAGTGAATAAGCATTTTAATGATAAAGATATTTAACCAGTTTTGAAAATTGGTTAGAATATACGTTCATATTTGGAGGAATTTAGACCAAAAGTTCCATTGATGGTTGCTTTAAGAAAGTAAGGTATGAAAGAAAGACATTGGGAATAAGTATCTTAAAAATTGGGATAGGAAGTTAAACCTGTACCTGGATTTACATTTACTAAGGCTATTGATATGGGTTTGATGAAGATAGTTGAAGATTGTATGGAAATAGGAGAAAGAGCTTACAAGGAATTTTAAATTGAAACTATGTTAAATTCTATGATGGCTTAATGGGAATAAATTAATTTTGATGTTGTTGGATATAAGAACATTTCTTTTATTATTAGAGGATTTGATGATATAGGAAATACTTTAGATGAACATATTGTAAATACTTAAGCTATGCTCTTTTCACCTTTTAAAAAGCCTTTTGAAGGACTTTTAAATGATTGGAATAGTACTTTGAAAAAAGTCAGTGATATTCTTGAAGTTTGGGCTAAAGTATAAGTAAATTGGATGTATTTGCAACCTATCTTTGATAGTTAAGATATCATAAAATAATTACCTTTAGAATCAAAGAGATTTAAGGCTGTTGATTAAAATTGGAAATTGATTATGATTAATTCTAAAAATACTTTGAATGTTTTAAAGGTTTGTTCAGCTGAAGGATTATTAGAGAAACTGACTGAGGGTTATAATAGTTTGGAATAAATTCAAAAGGAATTAAATAATTATTTAGAAAGAAAAAGAGAAAGATTTGCTAGATTTTATTTCTTATCTAATGATGATTTATTAG